GTGTAGTGCTGATAACACCAAGTCAAGGGTTAAGATCCCCTTACCGGTCATCTTTTTTTTTTTTAAAGATGACCAGTAAGGGGATCTCAACCCTTGGCTTGGTGTTGTCAGCACCACACTCAACCAGTGAGCGAACTGGCCATCCCTACATAGGATCCAAACCCGTTGTCTTGGTGTTATCAGCACCGCACTCTCCCGAGTGAGCCACGGGCCAGCCTTGGTCATCTTTTTCTTAAAAAAAAAAGTAAATAAATAAAAAACCAGGAGAAAACATTTCTTTTACAACTACTGGGGATAAGGAAAATAGTCTTAGGCTTGGAAAGACTGAAGACCATGCTTCTGAAAATCTTTACAAAATTTTGGTCTGCTGGAGACTGGAGGTAGAAACTTATTTAGTTACTGAGAGCAAAACAATCAAGGATATAAATCTGGACAACAGCAACATTAATTGAATAACCATCCAAGTTGCTTATATGTAGGAATGTTAATGATTTAGATACCTTAAGTTCAGCATTACTCTCTGCATTTTTAAGCATGTGCAGCAAAAATTCAGCACTCTTTTTGGGCCACCGACCCTGTGTCCAACCCCACTGTTTGGCCTGAAAGAAAATGAAGGGAGGTGATTAGTCATTTTCCCTGATTTTAAATTAACATTACAACTAAGATGAATTGATTTTATCTCGCATCAATGTTGCTCAGAACATAGTTTATATCATGGTTAATCCAAAGGTGTCCTAAGATTGTCATCACAGCAACCACAAGAGTTGATTAAGGCAGATCTTAGCCACTCTTAACTCATCCAATCACTTTTCTTTATAATTTGTCTTTTCAAATGCTAACTAAGAATTCTTACCTGGGCACACCTACCAACTCCACCATTGTAACGCCTGAATGGTACACATTGCTTCTGTAAAGTGACATCCTTCAGATACTTGGTGGCTTTACGGATATGCATACCCTTGATGGCCTGAGCAGTTTCACGGGTGTTCTAAGAATGAATAATAAATTGTTGGTTAACCATGTCAAAATACTATAATTTTTAAAGTAAACATTAAATTTTCCGATTTTAAAAATGTCAATATTTATCAAAATTAAAACCTTTCTATTCTTAGGATATAATAATAAATAAGAGCCAGGGAGGGCCAGCCCGGTGGAGCACTGCTGCAGTGCGCCGCTTGGGAGCGCGGCGGCGCTCCTGCTGAGGGTTCGGATCCCACATACAGACCGGTTCCCGCTCACTGGCTGAGCGAGGGGCGGGCGCAGCACCGAGGGTTGCGGTCCATTGCCGGACACAAAAAAAGACAAAAAGGAAAAAAAAAAAAAGAGCCAGGGAGACTTCACTTGCAAATAGGGAAAATGTTTAAATTCCATCACTCTGTAATTACAATTATGTGTCCCATCTTGATCTACATACAAGGTTCTCAAGTAGTTCTCTGGCAGTTTTACAAAATCCCATAAACCTCAAAGTGCTCCTTATACTCTGATGATCAACGTGTAAATAAAAGGTTGCTGCTCAGAATTTATTAATTTTCACGGTAAATCCAAAGGTGTCCTAGGAAAACAATCACTGCAGCCACCTTTCAGAACAGTTAGAAATACTCACCGGAACGCATGGCACAACTCTTAGGTCATAACTACGATTCACATACCTTAAAGTGAACACGAAGATTTGAACCTCTTGATTTACACGCTAGAAAATAAAAACGTTTTGGTTAATTATGGATATCTTATTATGCTTACTCCAAACTAGGAAATATATAATTCCTGTTCACTTACATTTTGTGGGGTTTTCTGGGTCAAGCGAATAGCGAACCATTTTCAAAGATCACCTGGAAGGGAGCACAACATAATTCTATCAACACAAATCTACATTAACTAATGCAGTTTAAATAAGCACTAAATGCTGCCAACAGCTGCTCAGAGAGTAGTTGTTTTCATTATTAATCCAAAGGTGTCCTAAGTAGTGTCATCATCGCAGCCATCCTTTTTCCTTCCAGTGCTTTCTTCCCCTTTGCACCTACCAGTTATCACAGCACTGCTTCGTCAAAACTAGTAACACGGACCTTACCGGCCCTCTCGCTTCCCTTTGGAAATACAGCCTGGTTCAATCCAACCCTGGATTTTTCAAGCGTAAAACGAGGACGCATTAGCATGGCAGAACTCAGCTGCAAGCCTCTAGATCCTCCCTGCCTCTCTACAGAAGCCCCTTTTACTCACACAGCTGCATAAATAATGCAGTCCTCACGCAACACAGGCTTTGGAGCTATTACCCACATTGAGAACCACCGAATATACCACACTGTTGAAACTAGTAAAGCCTCGACCCAACTTTATTCCCCCCCAAACTTTCTCTCTTTGCGACCACAAACGCGCCGCGAACTCGGCCACCACTCGCCGCGAGACACTAGACCTGCGGAGTAGGAGTAAGCACGAACCACAGGCCGCCCGTGCCCCCGCCAGCGAAGGAGACCTGCCGCCCCCACTGCCGCCCACCGCGTCCCTCCGCGGGCAGCAGAGGCCAGTCGGGCCGGCGCACCAACTCGGGCGCTCCGCCAAGTTCCCCCGCACGCGGGGACACCGCCACTAGCGAGAAATCAGTAGCCCTGGGAGTCCTCCTCCCGGCGGACTTAAGACCGGCGCCCCCGAAGCAAGGATGGCGCCGATGACAGCAGGATTGACCACTCGGAGTAACGAAGATAGACACTCACCTTAGGCCGCTTACTGGAAGAGGAAGAGCAGTGGCTTCTGGGAGAGCGCATGAGAACTTGAATTCTCGCGAGATTACAGCCCAAGAAACGAGATCTAAATTGGAGAGGAGGTGGAGAAGAAAGGGAGCGTGGAATATGTTTTAAGAATGTCCAGAAACGATTTGCCTCCTTAGAGACTGTCTCCAAATTCTCCTTTTTTCGTGTGTCCAGGAATAAAGTTATTGGTTTAAACATCAGTGAGTTAAAAACAGATTGTAGTTCTAGAACACGGTACCACACTATCAGATATAAGCGAGACATTTATTTATTCATCAAAATTAGTTACGTTTTGTTTTTGTTTTTGTTTTTGTTTTTTGGCGGCTGGCCAGTATGGGGACCCGAACCGTTAGGTTTACGTGATCATGTACCCCTGAAAGTGGATTCTATATGGTTAATTAAGAACATGAGACGATGGGGGCCAGCCCGGCCGGTAGCTCACTCGGGAGAGTGAGGTGCTGATAACACCAAGGCCACGGGTTCGGATCCTACATAGTGATGGCCGGTTACCAGTCATTAAAAAAAAAAAAAAAAGAGAGCATGAAACGATGGGGGTCGGCAGGTTAGCTTAGTTGGTTAGAGCGCGCAGTGTTATAACACTAAGGTCAAGGATTCGGATCCCTGAACCGACCAAAAACAAAGAAGATGAAAGCATGGGATGTAATTATAGTAATCAGGAAATTCACAGGAATGGAATGTCGTCCAATCAGTTATATTGTAACCTGTGTGAAGAAAGTGCTAATTGAAGGGTCAAGTTCAGGATCCTCCTTGTTCTTCACTGCCACTTCTAGATCTTCCTCGTCTGGTGAAGAAAGCCCTTTGGCATTTTATTCCTTGTCTTTCTCAACCAGGTCATCCATCTGGTTATTCCCTCACAGTCAGAGGTGGCGTCAGCACTTGGATTGCGGTCTTCTATTTCATGGCACCATCACTCTAGGGAGCTGGGACTACAAGTGAACGGACTCTAGACAATGCACTGAGCTCAGTTGTTTTCTTTTTCTTTAATTTTTTGAATTAAAAAAAAAATATTTTTGCTTCCTTCCTTTCTCTTTCCTTCTTCCTTTTTTCCTCTTTTTTTCTTCCTTCCTTTCCTTCTTTCTTTTCTCTTCTCCTCTTTCTCTCTTCCCTCTCTTTTCTTTCAGCAAACAAAAAAAAAAAAAAAAAAAAAAAAAAAAAAAAAAAAAAAAA